AGGTGAGTGAGTGAGAGTTTGTGAATATTTGCAATATTGCTCACTCCTCCTTTTGTGAAGGTAAAATCAGACATTGACTTCTTTGTGGAGGAGGGCGTAGTGTTCAAGGGCGAGTCTACTGTAACAAAGGTAAACTTTTACAAAAACTTTAGGTTTACAAAGTTAAAAACTTAAAAATGCAGGCAGATCTTGTTGTTTTGGGCACTGGCTACAAAGTGGTCATACCCTGCCTCTCCTCGGACATTCTGCCCATCGAGCACAATAACGTCCGCCTGTACAAGCACATGTTCGTGCCGACCATTGCCCACCCGCACACTCTGGGCATTGTCGGTCTCTTTCAGACGGTGGGCGCCGGACTGCCCGCAGTGGAGATGCAGGCTCGGTGGTTTGCACTGCTGCAAAGTGGACAGAGAAGGCTGCCCAAACGGAAGGCCATGGAGGCGGACATTGACCGGGTGAAGCGGGAGATTGCAGAGCGGTACTACCAGGCGGAACGACACACCTTCCAGGCAGAGTGGCTGCCCTTCATGGACGAACTGGCGGCGGAGGTGGGCTGTGCGCCACCACTGTTCAGGTACCTCTTCACAGATCCTCGTCTCTTTTACCATCTGGTCTTTGGCGTGGCCGTGCCCTATCAGTATCGACTTGTCGGTAGGAACATCTGTCTGGTTTTGGTCTTTGCATTAGATCACAATGTCTTCAACATTCCTTCAACAGGTCCTGGCGCTTGGTCAGGAGCGAGAGAGGCCATTTTGACGGTGAATGAACGCATCGCCGAACCATTCAAAACAAATGCCGCCCGAGAAAAGGCGACCAGCAGCTGGGGCCTGGGCAGGCTGAACATCAAGCAGGTGCTCGCCATTTGCATTGTACTCGCCGCTGTCTACTCTGCCATTCTGACGTTCATCTTTTGTAAACTTTTTTTCTAACTAGTTATTGCAAATTAAATTTCATTACGTTTGTGGTTGCCGGATACATTAAAGTTATAAAAATAAAAAGATTTCCGTTTTAAAGTTATTAGCTATCGCAAATCTCAAAGTATCTTTGTCATGCGGTTGTTGTTGTTGCTATTTTTGAAATACTTGCTGTTATCAGTTAAAAATCAAAATAAAAAAGATATTAAAGTAAAAAATTTAAACGCATGCCATTCGAAGAAAAGGGGAAAACACAAGGTATGCTTAAACAAGTTCAAAACATGATCAAATTCCTCATTTATGCTTAAAAATGCAAATTTTATCTGTATTTAAATCGCACTTTACTTTTTCACTGTTTTGCATCAGCTTTTTTTTCATTAAAGTTTGATCAACTGACTTGATTATCAATGCATTGAAAACTTTAGAGTGCAGTTTAGTGTAACACAATTACCCTCTTTGCGAGAAAGTTGTAAGTACAAATTCAAAGTTCAAGTGAACGCACAAAGCAAATACAACCATTTTCATTGACAGTTTGATTAGTTTCAACAATTTTACAATGTCCAAACTCTTTTTACGGTTGAATATTCTCCTGATAAGCGCGCGAATCATCTGGAGCGTTCTGAAACCTTTGCCCTTTTTATTTGATGTCCTCACACAAGCCTCCCTCCTCTACCTCATAGTCGTTTTCACTGTCCGATTGTGGAAGTTCAGGAAGTTTGCCAAGCAAATTAACACTTTGCCTGGTCCACCGATGACTCGGAATCCTCTGAACTGGCTGAATCATGTGTTCATGTCTAGGAACAACAAAAACGCTGAGCCGTTGGCAAGTAAGTTTTCAGTTTTTAGTGAACTCCTGTTTTTAAACACTTTTTTCAACAGGCCTCAATGAAACGCTTTGTGGTCTTGGAAAAGTTTACGAGGACAAGCACTCTTTTTATCGCATTTGGTTAGCCTACATTCCCTACGTGGTCATCTACAAGGCAGATCTAGTAGAGGTATTCATTTTATAGTTTGCCAGGTTTTATGGTAACTTTTTTTGCCCTTTAATTAGAAAATTTTGCAAAGCCCGACAAATATTCAGAAATCTGGAGATTATCACTTCTTTCGGCCGTGGATCAAGGATTGTCTTCTTCTCAGGTTGGAAGTTAAATGTTAATGGCTCAACAAAATCCAAAATTTTGATGTTTTTGTAGTAAAGGAGCCAAATGGGAGTATCGTCGAAAGTTGCTTCAGCCAGCCTTTCATGCCACCGTACTGGAGCAATTTGTGCCCATCATGAAGGAGCACACTATGGTGCTGATTGACAAAATCAACCACCACGTTTCTCAGTCGGGTGATGAAAAATGTGCTGTTTTAGATACCAGAAAACTGATGCTTCCACTTACGTTTGATATCATTTGTGGTAAATTTAACTATTTTTCAAATTTGTTCAAAAACCTAAACTGCAGTTTTTTAATTTAGAAACTGCAATGGGCGTCAAAATGAACAGTCAAAATGAAGACAAGAGCAAGTACATTGAAACGCTGAACGTGGCTGTGCGTAAAATTCTCAAGCGAATCATGACGCCCTGGTTCTGGAATGATCTTGTCTGCAGCCTCTTCTCTCCTGATCTTCTAATTCACGAACAAATGAACATCATCGAAGGCTTCATCTACAGTGTCATCCGCTCACGCAGGAAAGCTTTGCTCGAATCAAAGCAGCAGCAGCCAGGTGATAACACTGAAACTTCTACCCCTCTTAAGCGGAAGCGCCTAGCCTTCCTCGACCTTCTTCTAGAGCACAACATCACCGATCCCAGCAAATGGAGTGAGGCGGACATTGAGGAGGAGATGGAGTTCTTCTTTCCGGCGGCGCACGAGACCACCACCGAGTCGGTCGTCTGGACGCTCTTCTGTCTGGGCAACAGCACGGACTGTCAGGCGGCAGTTCACCGGGAGATTGACGCCATCTGGGAGCAGTACGACCTGGACCGGGAGGGCGCCCAGTGCCAGCTGACCAGTGAGCACCTCAACCAGATGACCTACCTGGAGGCGGTCNGACCTTCTTCTAGAGCACAACATCACCGAGCCCAGCAAATGGAGTGAGGCGGACATTGAGGAGGAGATGGAGTTCTTCTTTCCGGCGGCGCACGAGACCACCACCGAGTCGGTCGTCTGGACGCTCTTCTGTCTGGGCAACAGCACGGACTGTCAGGCGGCAGTTCACCGGGAGATTGACGCCATCTGGGAGCAGTACGACCTGGACCGGGAGGGCGCCCAGTGCCAGCTGACCAGTGAGCACCTCAACCAGATGACCTACCTGGAGGCGGTCATCAAGGAGGCGATGCGGCTCTATCCGCCGGTGGNAGGAGATGGAGTTCTTCTTTCCGGCGGCGCACGAGACCACCACAGAGTCGGTCGTCTGGACGCTCTTCTGTCTGGGCAACAGCACTGACTGTCAGGCGGCAGTTCACCAAGAGATTGACGCCATCTGGGAGCAGTACGACCTGGACCGGGAGGGCGCCCAGTGTCAGCTGACCAGTGAGCACCTCAACCAGATGACCTACCTGGAGGCGGTCATCAAGGAGGCGATGAGACTCTATCCGCCGGTGGTCTCCGTCGGCCGCTACATCTCCACTGACATTGTCCACGAGAGCTTTGTCATNTCAAGGAGGCGATGCGGCTCTATCCGCCGGTGGTCTCCGTCGGCCGCTACATCTCCACTGACATTGTCCACGAGAGCTTTGTCATTCCAAAGGGCGCCACAGTGTGCATTCTCATTGAGAAGCTTCACCGAGACCCGCACTTTTTCCCCAAACCTGACGCCTTCCTCCCTGAAAGGTTCCTCGATCCGCAGGCGCCCCACCTCGGCAACTCCTTTGCCTACATACCTTTCTCTGGAGGCAAGAGGAATTGCATCGGAGGGAAGATGGCCATGAAGGAGCTGAAGATTATCCTGTCCATTCTGCTGCGTCACTTTAGTGTTCAGTCGCTAAAAAAGTTGGGAGAAATCGATATTGATCCAGTTATTGTCTCAATGCCTAGAGGACCGGTTGACATTCGCTATACTCCACGATTGTAGTCTAATCGTTTTCCTAACCTATCTTTTTTGTTTAAAATAAACTTTTTTTGTAGGAAATCAGGTGTACAAAATTCCAGCAAACAAAAACAGTTTCCGCCACAAATTTTTAAAAATGTTGTAAAAGAACAATAATGTTGAATTTTTTTTCTACTCTATATTTTGTAGTTTGTTTACTTGCATTTCAAATTTCAAATTCAATTTTTTAAAATGTCTAAAAACAAAAATATATTTTGGTACTTTTATAAGAAAAGTAAACTTAACTTTTTTATAAGTAAAGTGCCGATAGTACAACAGCCAACTGCCAGTGTCTAAGTTTGTGACGTCGGCTTGCCAATAACGTGTGCACTAGATACGGAAAACTCATTTATGATTTATTTGTTTTACAAAATTAATTATTTAGCTTACCAGTTTATAAAGTTATTAAATAGAACAGCGATAATTAGAACACTTGTAAAAGTCAATATTTGGAAAATTAGCGACTAGGAAATAACCTTGTGATTCATTTTGTTTTAGTGTCATTATACGGTTTGTTCAATGTTCAATACTCAATGAATAATTTTTGCAGACATATTTTAACAAATACTGGCGGCATTTTAAATAGTGCAACAATGATAAAACTATTAACAAAAGTGCTTATCAAATTCAAAGTCATTCATACATTTAAGCTTTATATTGATTACTTTACAATGGTGGATTTAATTCAAGCTAAAGAAAAATTTACTATTTTAAAAATTAAACTTACATATTTAAACGTGATGATTAAAGTTTTCCATTATGTCCTGTTGTACTGCATAAATGATTCATTTTCACCAGTAGACCATTTGCTGCATTTTGATATAACATTTGTTGAAAACCTGTCGTCGTTTTTAAATCTATACATTGCTTTAAATTATTATTTAATTGCAAAAGTTTACAAATTGTTATATTATAAAAATAATGGTGTTTTAGGGCAGTTTTTTAGACGAGTGATACTGCAAGAAAATAACATCAAATTTAACTGCCGATTATTTACAAAATCTTATTTTAAATTTGGCTTTTTAGTAACAAAAGTATTTTTATTTTTTAAGTACAATGTCAATAAAAATAAAATTGAAACAAATCTTCAAAAATTTACACAAGTTTTTCTCCATTGTATGGATGTTTATAGCTGCTTATATGGTAACGTAACTTTGTTTCAATAACTTTTTTAACTAAAAACAATTTGATTTACAGTAACTTATATTTTAAACTACTACTTTAATCTATTTTATTTGCTAAGACTGAGTTCAGTTAACATTAAAAATTTTATAATTTTTCAAATTGTTGCATTTCAATTTTACTCAGTCATCTACTTTGTTCGATATGTGATAACTTTATTGCTAACCTTTATTTTTGTTTTAATCATGACGACTAATTTAAAGATACAAGAACTAAAAATGTACATTAAACAGCTGAGAATGAACAGTTTTACTGAGCAACAATTTAATTTTATACGTACAAACTTTGTCGTTTTGTTTCTAAAGTGGCTCAGTGACATTAATCGCATTTACGGGGTAATTATTTTTGGTTTCATCTGCACTGCCCTGCCACTGAATGCTATTCTGGTGATGATGCTGTTTTTCGTAAAATTGAGCTTCAAAATGAAAGGTTTTTTCTTTTTTGTCATAATTTTACAATTTTTTCTGCTTTTTGGAATTTCACTCTTTTCAGCAAAAAAGTCATCTGAGTATCATAAGATAATCAAAATTTTTATTGAATACTTTGTCAAATCGTCTAGCATTAAAAAATTAAAGTTTCGTCTCAGGATAAGCATTTACATTTCGCACTTTCACACTACTAATCCTTACACTCTAAATATGGGAAAAGTGGGCAAAATTAACTTTGCTCTCTTTGGACGTCAACTCTTTTTCTACATCAAATTTTTATTTTTTGCATACAAGTTTATAAAAGCAAACATGAGTTAAAGTAATTAACAAAGTAATAAAAAATTTTTAAGCAAAAACTTGTGTCCAGAGGCCCTGGTCGCCAGAAATCCAGTAACTCACCTAAACTTTTCATTAGCTGACAAAATGTGTCCAAAGAAGTTCTTGCTAATTTAAAGATCTGTTCATTTCTGATTTAAAAATGAACATGATAAAAGAGGAAACATAGACGACAGTCTAAAGTAAATCAAACAAACAAATTACATTTTTTCAATCAACAGCAAATACTCTTACCGCAAAGTATGACGTGACAACGATTCGAGAATACCCGTAAACACAGTAGGTGTACGGCTTTAGGCGCTCCTCCAGCTGAAAGACCTGCGCCTTGAGGAGCGTCACCACGGGAAGCTTTTGAGCACTCTCCTTCTTTCTGGCCTCCCTTGCGGCGTAGTAAAAGTTAAACTTGCGCAGCACACCCTCAATCTGCCCGTTGACTCGGTCAATGGTGGAGCACTCTTTGGTGAGCAGAAAGAGGATGACGTTCACCTCAATAATGGCCGACAGACAGAAGACGGTCCCCACGAAGCTCTGTTTATCATAGAGCAGCACTGCCAGGAGAAACGGCTGAACTAGCTCTAGGTAGGGAAAGAGAATGCTGAGCACTGGATTGTTCAGTCGGCTGTTGGCGTCTATGTGCCAGCAGATGTGCAGCAGACGGGTGTTGGCGTCCATGAAGCGGTCCCAGGTGTTCACCATCTGCATGTCCATCACCAGCATTCTCTTTAGCATCTTTATGTTCTGCAGGCAATTGACCTGCCGTATTCGCAGAATCCGACTGCTGACGATGATGTACAGCAGCGGCCCAATCACCCCGTAGAAGGTGTAGAAGATAAAAACGGGAAAAATGACAGTCCAGAAGAGGAGCGAGATGACGTCCACACTGTAGACGGCGTTGTTCAGGAGATTGTAGTAGTAGAAGATGAGGGCGATGCTGAAGAAAGGGAGATAACAGCTCCAGAAGAAAAGGGGAATCCACCGCTGATAGAAACGAATCTGCTGCGAAACGGCCACATCAAGAACTCGGTTTCCTACTGCAAAATTTTCTGCTGAAATTTGCTTGATTTGAAAGTGAAAGGGCAGTTCTTTCCGAATAGTGGCGTACAAAAGGATTCCTGCCGGAGCGATAATGGAGAAGATGGAGGCAATTTCAAAGTGTCTCCAAAGTGAAGGTGGTGATATCTGATGAGTCGCCACGTAGGGGTTGTTGTAAAAGTTTTCAAAACTCCAAAAATCCCACTCAAAGTTGGCAGCTTGAGCCGGCAGGTAGAAGGTGCCAAAGGTAAATCCAACAATGAGGAATAAGAAAGGTATTCCGTAATGGTATGTTTTATTGCGGTCAGTGCTTTCAAAACGCGCAAAATTAGATTGGTTTTTTTGAATTGGCAAAACTAAATTATTTAAAGCGGAAATGTGTGATAAGATTAACTGTTGAATCGGTTTGACAAACATTTTAAAATCCTAAAATTATTAATTTTTAAAAAAATTTGCTGTTTAATTTTACAGTTAAAAATTTAAAACTGTTGTACTTACTATTACAACTTTGTGCTTGAGAAACATTTTTAGTATTTGTATAAAAACTAGAAAATGTCAATACTTTTGAAGGCTTTGTAAACCTTGTGACTAATTAAAGTACACATTACAGTGTCGTTTCTAATTAAAAACAACTCTTTTAAAGTAAATATCATTTGCGTGGCAAAAAAGTTTTATTTTTAACATGTAAAAGTATTCTTTGTTGTTTCAAGACAATTTCATTATTGAAGTTTACCGGAGCTTGTCTACAGTGCTCAAAACGAAATGCAAGTATTTAATTAGCAGGTGTACTAAACTTTAAAAGTACAAAATCGATAAAAATTAAAAATTTAAAACAACATTATGCATGTAGCGGGTGGAAGACCGAGGCAATACAGTAATGAATACTTGTAAGTTTAAAAACTCACAATTTTTACTTTTTTTGAAGTTGACGCCTTTTAGGCACTGTAACCTTTGAGGTGAGCATCCACAGTGCCACTCCTCTGTAAAAGAGCAAATTAACGACCATCATCAGCAGTCCGTAGTAGTAGTCCTCATCGGTAATGCTCAGCCAGTGCAGAATGGGCTGAACTTCCCGGTCAGTGCATCGGCCGAAACCATACTCCAGCAACATCAACGTCTGCATGCCCCACCGGGGAATGGCCAAATTAGAAAGCACCTGGTAGACGTAGTGAGCAGTACTCAAACTGGTAAAGATATTGCTCATCTCAAAGAGAACATTGTAGAAGGTGGCACCGAGAAGGAGCGGCGTAATCAGGTCTCCCTTAGGGCAGGTGAGCACACAAATGTACGCCACTCCCTGAGCAGTGACAATGGAAAGAAGGAGCACCAGGTATATTGGCCAGTAAATGTCCAAAATGGCCGTGTAGATGTTGCAGATGTACACGTAGGCGGCGAGCACTGGTAGCTGCAGCAGCACCTCAAAGAGTAGCTTCACAAGGAAAAAAGCTCCCGTAGAGTAGTAACCGTTGCGGTGCTCATTGAGGAAGAGTGGCAGCTCGGCGTGAAGGGTCAGCGGAGTCTGCAGCATCACAAAGATCACAAAAAGGTTGGTGAAGAAAAAGGTGTAGAAAAAATTTTCGTACATCAACTTTTCATTTTGCTGAAGTTCTGCTGACCACTGACAGGTGTTGTTGAAGTCCTCCTCTAAACTGATGCACCCTGAAGACTGGGCAATGGCGGGGTTGAAGAAGATGGACAAGTTGAAACCGTAAACGAGGTACATGGCGAGAAACACTAGCCACTCTTTCCAGAGATATCCGGCCAGGTAAGCAATGTATCGAGTGAAAAGAATCCAAACGGAGCGAAATGAAAAACGGACTCGGTTGACCAGGATTGAATCGCCTAATTGAACAATGTTTTTGCTGGCGTCTTGGCTTTCCTGGCTGGCTAAAGTAATTCTTTCCATTTCTTTGACAATAGAACTGTTTTCAAGGTTTAAACTTGAGTACTTGATAAGTGTTTCAATAGAATGCGATACGCTTTCATTGTGCTCAAGGCCAGAGGCTA